CCAGTGGAAGGGAGGGGAAATGGGGGACACTGTGCTTTCTGCACAGTTTTGCTGTGAACTTTAAAATTCTCTAAAGAATAAAGTCAATGTCATAAAAAGTCTATTAAAGATTTTTTTGGAGTTGGGATCTCACTCTGTCACCCAGGCTGGAGTGCAATGGCACAATCATGGCTCACAGCAGCCTTGACCTTCTGGACTCATGATCCTTCCACCTCAGTCTCCTTGAGTAGCTGGTACTACAAGTGCACACTACCATACCTGACTTTTTTATTCTTTATTTTGTAGACATGAGATTTTGCTATGTTGCCCAGTTTGGTCTCCAACTCCTAGGCGCAAGCAATCCTCCCACCTCAGCCTCTGAAAGTGCTGGGATTATAGGTGTAAGCCACCATGCCCGGCCCTAATTTTTTTTTTTTTTTAAAGAAAGAGACTCCAGCCTCATCCCAGATCTACTAAAGGAAACTTGGAATCTTTCTTTATAACAAGGGGGCAAGTTCAGGATACTGTATTGAGTCAAGACCATCATTTCTTTGGAAGCCAAGGAGACCAAATACCCTGTTTACGCCCTGGCTTTGTTACTGACCTCATCTGTTGCCATTCTTTAAGAGGAAACACCTGCCTCCTCCAGCTTCAGGTATTCATTTCCCAATTCCTGGCCCCAAACCATTCAGACTTTTCATTTTCTATGACCAATCAACCACAAACGCCTGTGAATGCTGCATTTCAATTTCTGTTTCTGCCTATTTTCCATCACAATACTCTTCCTAAAGTACCAATGTTCCCAAAAGGCACTGCTGAAAACTCTCCATGGGCTTTCCAACCTTTGGGGAATGCCATGTCAATTCCCATCTGGTTCCTCTGTCTCCTTGGGCCTGAGTAGAGGCCTCTTCTCTTCATGTCCATCCCCAGTCAGAACGCCTTTCTCCTTGACTCTGACTCTCCCAATACTGTGGATGCCTTCTTTCTTTCTTTCTTTCTTTTCCTTAAAAACTTTTAACTGTAGCAAACACAAAGTATACAAATGCTAAGTGTACAGGTTGATGAACTTTCTCACATTGAGCCTTCCAGATCAAGAAATGGAATGTTGCCGGCACTACAGAAGTTCCCCTGCTGGGCTTGGTGGCTCAGCCTGTAATCCCAGCACTTTGGGAGGCTGAGGCGAGTGGATTACCTGAGCCTGCGGGTTTGAGACCAACCCGGGCAACTTGGTGAGACTTTGTCTCTACCATACATAAAAAATTATTTGGGCGTGGTAGTGCGCGCCTGTAGTTCCAGCTACGTGGAAAGCTGAGGCAGTAGGATCACCTGAACCCAGCAGGCGATGCTGGGGTGACCATGAGCGTGCCACTGCACTCCAGCCTGGGTGACAGAGTGAGACTCCAACTCAAAAAAAAAAAGTTCCCCTGGTACATTTTCCCCATCATTACCTACCACCTTCCCAAACCTCCTCCAAGCTCATCTCATTAATTTTGTCTTCTTTTTTATTTTATTTTATTTATTTATTTATTTTTGAGTTGGAGTCTCACTCAGTCGCCCAGACTGGAGTGCAGTGGCATGTTCCCGGCCACCGCAGTCTCGACCTGCTGGGCTCCGGCGATCCTTCCGCCTCAGCCTTCCAAGTAGCCGGAACTACAGGCATGCGCTACCACACCCGGCTAATTTTTTGATTTATTGTAGAGATGAGGTCTCGCCAAGTTGCCCAGGCGGGTCTCGAACCCGCGGGCTCAGGCGATCCACTCACCTCAGCCTCCCAAGGCATGGGATTACAGGCTGAGCCACCAAGCCCGGCTAATTTTGCCTTCTTAAAGGCTTTTAAGTCTGCTTCTTTTGTTCAACATTAGGTGTGTGAGATATACTCATATCGTTCCATGCTCTGAGTTTGTTAATTTTAGTTGCCCCATATATTCCATGTGTGATTATACTATAATTGTTTTTTTAATCTATTCTGCTATTAATGGTTATTTGGGAGGTTTCCAGTTTGGGGTTATTATTCTTTCTGAATTTTCATTTTAAAGATGTGGGGTACAATTCAGGGTTAGGTATACAAATGGTCATTGTACACGTAAAGCTTGGGCCTTACTGTGGTCCCCACATCATCTGGTTTGAGATCAGGTCCCCTTACTGATGAAGTGTGCCCCGTGCTCCCTCCCCTGGCAGTTTCCCACTACTGCCAATCCCTTTCTTCTAGTATTGTGATAATTGTTCAGGGTCCGCTTATGAGTGAGAGCGTGTGGTACTCAGTTCTTTGTTTCTGTGATAGATCACTCAGTATTATAGACTCTAAATCCATCCAAGTTGCTGCGAAGTTCACAAATTTGTCCTTCTTTTTGGCTGTGTACTATTTCATCTTGTATATGTACCACATTTTTTTAATCCAGTTCTCTTTCGATGGGCAGCACGGTTGGGTCCATGTTTTTGTGACTGTGAATAATGTTGCAATAAACATACGTGGGCAGGTATCTTTTTCATAGAGTGTTTTGAGTTCCTCCAGATATATTCACAGAAGGGAGATTGCTGGGTCATATGGAAGGTCGATTTTTAGATCTTTTAGGAATCGCCAAACTGTTTTCCACAGAGGTTGTACTAGTTTACATGATGCCTTCTTTCAAGGGGGTGGTCTAGCTCACACCTCCATCCTATTACTCTGACATTTGTAAGATTCATTTTTTAAACTTTTAAATTATTTACTTATTTATTTTAATAGAGACAGGGGATGGGAGAGCCTCACTATGTTGACCAGGTTGGTCTTAAACTCCTGGCCTAAAGCGATCCACTCACTGCCGCAGCCTTCCAAAGTGCTGGATGACAGGTGTGACCCACCATGTCTGGCCTGTAAGATTCATTATCTATTATTTGTAGAGACGCTTAATTATGCATTTTCTCTCTTGTACTTTGTCTTCACTATTTTGAGTTATGTTCCATTGGGACAGGTGAATGAAAGCTCTTGAAGGGGCATATTGCATTCTCCTTCATGAACAGAAAAATTCATGAGACTAGTACTATTTCTAGGGTGAAGTAAGTGTTCTCTTTTTTTTCTGAGTTACTCTGTCACTCAGATTTTTTTCTGAGTTACTCTGTCACTCAGGTTGGAGTGCAGTGGCACGCTCACAGCCACCACAGCCTCGACCTGCTGAGCTCAGGTGATCCTTCTGCCTCAATCTTCCAAGCAGCTGGAACTACAGGCACGTGCCACCATGCCTGGCTAATTTTTTTCAATTTATTGTAGGGATGAGGTCTCACCAAGTTGCCTAGATTGAGCTCGAACCTGTGGGTTCTGGCAATCCTCTCACCTCAGCCTCCCAAAATGCTGGGATTATAGGAGTGAGGCCCCACACCCGACCTGTAGTTATTTCTTTCGAGGAAGAGGGCTCTGCATAGTCTGGCCCATGCATTCTGAAGGCATTGTGTGTTTAAAACACCAAAGACCAAGTCTGGACTTTTTCTTGTTTTTCTTAGCTTTTCTCTACTGCTGTAGTATAAAATGAGCCTCTTTATCCAATGTCAGATCATTGCAAGCGAATTGCCCATCCAATTAATGACATGTGGCTACATCCTGTGGCTATGGTATCAGAAGCAGAAGTTGGAAAATAGACTCTGACAAAGGATGTTGTGCAGTTTCCACCAGTAAGAGGCTTCATACAGGGGGAGGATATTTTGGTGACTCCAAAAATTGCAATTTGAGAAAGGTTTCAATGGTTTGGGAAACCAAGACGGGGATATTTGAAATTATAACTTTCCTGGAAAGTCTAGAACAGTGGCCACCTTGCTCTTCAATAATTTGCATTGAATTATGGAGGATGCAAAGGATAAGGCATGGACTGTCCCTGCTATGGGGGAGTTTAGAGCATTTAGGAGAAGATAGAACTTCTGCAAAGAAAACAATAAGATGGTTCATAAACAACAGTAAAGAAAATAAAATCCAGTAAGAATTTTCACCTGTAGAATGTGTCAACACTCTGTAGATTATATTTCAGATCCTTAGGAACCTTTTGGTGTTGTTTTATTTATTTTTGTTGTTGTTAGCTTGTTTGAGTTAGAGTCTCACTCTACTGCCCAGGCTGGAGTACAGTGGCACGCTCACTGCGGCAGCCACTATCTGCTGGGCTCAGGTGATCTTTCTGCCTCAGTCTTCCAAGTAACTGGGATTACAGGCGTCTGCCACCACCCCTGGCTAATTTTTTGATTTATTGTAGAGACGAGGTCTCACCCCTGGGCTCAGGTAGTCCTCTCACCTCCGCCTCCCAAAGTGCTGGGATTATAGGCATAAACCACCACGCCCAACCTCAGGAAACTTTTAAAGAGGGGATTATCATTTCCACTCTAGAAATAAGAAAATGGCCAGGCATGGTGGCTCACAACTATAATCCCAAACTTTGGGAGGTGGAGGTGAGAGGATTGCCTAAGTCCAGGGGTTCAAGACCAGCCTGGGCAACTTGGTGACACCTCATCTTAAGATAAGCAAAACAATTAGCTGGGCGTGGTGGCACGTGCCTGTAGTTCTAGCTTCTTGGAAGGCTGAGGCAGAAGCATCACCTGAGCCCAGCAGGTTGAGGCTGCGGTGGCCATGAGTGTGCCACAGCACTCTAGCCTGGGTGACAGAGTGAGACTCCAACTCAAAAAAAAGAAGAAAATGTTCTCAAGGTCACACAGTTGGTAACCTGTCGAGAAGGGGATTTCAACCCAGGTTCTTCAGGATTCCAAAACCTTTGCTCCTTCCATTCCGGTGTTGATCAACCTTTCTCCTGTACCACAGCAGGTCATCCAAAATAGTGGTAAAATTATTATTGTTCCTAATTTAAAACATGCGTGCAAAGAACCAAGTCTGGTGGTACTGTGACGTTTTCTCCAGTTTTCACGATTGTCTTTGAAGCTGTTACAATATTTTTATACCTAAAAGAAGGAAACAGGTGGCCGTAAGGCAGAATATGTTGCATTTGAACCACCCACTGCTTTGCTGGCTCTTGTATAATTGAATAGTTTCTGTTCTCTTTAAGGCGATTCTATGGAACTAACAAGATGAATAAAAATAAACTGATTCATGATTTTCTGGAAGTAGTCTCAGGAGGTGATGTGGAACTCATCTATGACCGTATTTCCAAAGTCCATTCCATCCTCGGACACCTTGACTTTGAGCACCCAAAGACAGGGAATACACCTCTCATTACTGCAGCAGCAGAAAATCTAACAGAGGTAACGTGCTGTTCTGGGCTCAAGGATAGAAAGTCCTCCAGGCTAAGGATTCTGGGTGAGATCTTTGTGAATAGCGTTATCACCCATCGCTGTGAAAGAATGTCTAAGGCACAATGCAAGGGGTAGGGGGAGAGGGATACCCTGAATCATCTAGACAGAAAACATCTTTATTGCCAGGCTCGGTGGTTCAGCCTGTAATCCCGTGCCTTTGAGAGGCTGAGGTGAGTGGATTGCCTGAGCCCGAGGGTTCGAGACCCGCCTGGGCAGGTGAGACCTCATCTCTACAATAAAATTAAAAAAAACAGCCGGGCGTGGTAGCGCATGGCTGTAATTCCGGCTACACGGAAGGCTGAGGCGGAAGGATCACCAGAGCCCAGCAGGTCGAAGCTGCGGTGGCCGGGAGCTTAAGCAATTTTTCTCTTTTTACTCCTTTCCATGAACACTTTTTAACAGATTTTAAAATACAGCACATATGCAAACAAACCCCATGAAACATGTATATCAAACTTACAAAAAACCAAATGAGTACCTGTGTACCCACCATCCAGGCCAAAAATTAGAAAATTGCCATGCCTCAAATTCTCTCTGTATGCCCCTTCTGAATTGCATCCTTCGCTCTTGATAACCCTTATCTTGAATTTGTATTAATAATTTTCTTTTCTGTAAATCAATAATTTCCTTTATTTTGCCATCTGTGCATACATGCCCACATAATTCATTTTTTAGTTTTTTCTGTTATTGAACTTTATAAAAACAAACTCACACCACATGTTCCTATGTAACTTGCTTCTACTCGCTGTGTTTTCGAGATTCATCATTTCAGAACATGTAGCTATGGTTCTTCATTTTTAGTGCTACCTAATATTCCATTGCATAAAAATGCATGCCACAATTTATCTATCCTACTTTGATAGACATCTGGGTGGTTTCCAGATTTTTGTTATTATTTTCTCTTATTTTAGGGAACCCACGGTGGGGAGGGAAGGGGGAGCCTTCTGAGGGGTGGAGAAGGGGATTCCCAGGGAGAGGGCCTCGGAAACCCACACCTTGGCTGACGCTGGGGGCTGATTCCCGGGATCTGGGGCGAGTTGGGCTGGGTTCCCCCATGGAGTCGTGCAGAGGGCGGGGCCTGAGGGGCGGAGCATGGGGAAGGCGGAGTGTGGGGAGGGACAGGAAGGACCACATTTCCGTTATTATAAACAATGATAAACATTGCTTATAATTGTCAGCATTTCAATATGCTCAGATACCTGCCCTTTGCTAATACCTAAACAAACATCGCCACTCAGCCCATGTCCTCCGACCACTTCCTTTCCTCTCTCAGGCCTTTTCTATTGCAGATCTGTCAACAACAATAATCTGAGATTTTGCCCTATTTGCAGCTAACAAGTTAGCCTGCCAGAATTGCTTGAATTCTTAGCAGAAGAAACATAACTCCTGGGTCACAGACAAAGAGTGGTTTATTACTCATAACAAATAGCATTAGTCAGAGTTGTATCAGCTTTGTATTTGTTCTCTGAGCCCCAATTTCCACTTGCTGGTAGGAAGAGGACCAGGTGACCCCTGCACATGCAGTGGGTTGGATTACAGCAGAGGAATCATCAATTTTAGGGAACCCTAATCATTTACAACAGGCAGTAAGCAGACCCCTTCTTTGTTCCAGACAGACACTATCTCTAACTTCCAAGGCTGTTCACTCTACAAACAAGTTTGAGAAGTTAGTCCAGAATAAAAGTAGTCAGAGTCATTGGTCACAAGACTTGCAGAAATGGGAGAGACCAATGGAGACTTGTCACCTAACAATACTTACCCTCCAATTTCTCCTCTGTCTTGGCAGCAAAGAGAATACAAAAGTGATACATTGTCCCATTATTCCACGACTCTCTTGGTCACTCTGATTAATCTGACCAACAGAGGCTGAGACCAAATTTATCAGTTTGTCTCGTACAACACTTGATGTTAGCTACTATCAACAGGACCCCAAGCAGCAGGATGAGACCAGTCTGCAGTACTGACCTCAACAATGCCATCCAAGGTCCTGAACCCATTTAGCTGAACAAATCCCATAAACAGGCAAGGTCTACTGTAGAAAACCAGGTGGTTTTTGTCTCAGCCATCAAGTAACTGGAACTACATGTGTGCGCCACCATCACTGGCTAATTTTTTTTGGTTTATTGTAGTAATGAGGTCTCACCAAGTTGCCCAGGGTGGTCTTGAATCCCTGGGCTCAGGCAATCCTCTTGCCTGTGCCTTCTAAAGTGCTGGGATCACAGGTGTGAACCACCACAATCAGCTAAGATCTTTTTTAAGAATGTAGATGAAGCCGGGCTCGGTGGCTCAGCCTGTAATCCCGCGTCTTTGGGAGGCTGAGGTGAGCGCATTGCCTGAGCCCGCGGGTTCGAGACCCGCCTGGGCAGCAAGACCTCATCTCTACAATAAATCAAAAAATCAACCGGGCGTGGTAGCGCATGCCTGTAATTCCGGCTACTTGGAAGGCTGAGGCGGAAGGATCGCCAGAGCCCAGCAGGCGAGGCTGTAGTGGC